GTATATCTATTGTGTTACAGCTCAGACACTGGTTGGCCATCTGATCACAAATACAGTACCCAGAATACTATCATCCATCCTCACATCTGGTGTCTGAAGTTCCTGTGTGCCACCTGTGGTCAGACAGACAAGAAGAACAGTAGGCTCCAACCTCTCTCAGCAGCCTCCCTCTTCTCTCTGCATTTACCACCCAAGGCCTTTGTTGTCAACAGTGGCTTCAAGCATTTTGATTCAAGAGCCTGCCTGCTAACATTTGGAAATCATTCTACAGCTTCCACTACCAAGGGAGGATCACACTGTGGGAAAAATTTACAGTTATTTGCTCATGATTTTTATACACCATTTTAATTAATTAATTATAACCGTAGTTTTCATTTTGTATACTTTGCAAAACAGAAGCAATCCCATTTCCCTGTACACTACTAAACAGGGGACTAAAAATGTTATAACTTTTAAACTTGTTTTAAAGATTCTTTATTATTGCGTTGTTATTGGAAGAAAGTCTTCATTCTTACCATTCTGTGTGCACAGTGACTTATCTATGTCAGTGCCTTATCAAGCAAGACACTCTATGTTTCTTACAGTTCACAGACAAAGAAATAAAATACACTGTGTCGACTCAGGAACCCACTAAAATCCAACCGCTTTGTGGATGGCAATCTCCTAGTCCTTTGACACAAATTTCAAAGAGCTGGGAGTCAACAGTGCATCAAGGTCAAGCTCCTTATCAAATGAAAAACCAAGAAGAAACAATCCTTTTGTGTCACACTGTGTTATAGTAAAGGGAATAATGCATGTATTACTCCAAAGCTTCAAAGAACTGGCAGGCTTCGTTCAGCTGTTACGCTTTGAGAAGAATAAGAAAAACTTATAATTAAATCTTAGCCTCAAAGAATGGCTAATTTATAACCCGGTTAGTCTCTGGCTGCTCACTTAAGGTGCAGGGAAAAAAAATCACCAAAACAAATGGCGTAACTGTTACAAACAGCTTTGTATTTGTGTTGTGTGACTTTTATCTTCCATTTTTTGTCTGTTTAGTGCTTCTAAAGAATCTCTGTGGCTTTTCCTTCAAGGAGACAATGAGAGAAAGGACAGTGAGAGCATGTGTGTGTGTGTGAGGGTGTGTGTGTGTGAGGGTGTGTGTGTGTGAGGGTGTGTGTGTGTGAGTTGTGTATTGGGATTATGTTGCAAACCACGCTATATGCTGTTAGCGCACATTACACAGAATACAACAATCAAATGCCTCGCTTTCTTGTGCTGTATATTAATGATCATGTTATTTGATTATAACACTTATATTTTCATTTGAAACACGACTTGTAGTGTTCTTGTTTTCATCATCATAGAAGTGCCAACAATTTGTATTAGTGATATTTTTTATCTTCTCCTGTTTTCTTTTTTGTTTTTGTTTTTTTTATTGGGATGAAGTTGAAGGAGTCTAACCTTGAATCATAACAGAAAAAGGAATAAAGCCACAAAGAAAAAAACAAATATATGTGGAATATATAAGAAGATATAGAAATATATGAATATATTCTTTTGTTATATCTAATATTGTATTTATCAACTTGTTTATAGCAAACCGTGAATGTAAAGTATTTTAAACGTAACTGTCCATAGTCATAATATAGTGTTTGATGTATAGCTAAGAAAAAAAATTATATTCCATGTAACCTTGGGCTACTTTGTCACATATGAATGTGAAAAAAAAAACCCACCTTGGCTTTACTGGACTACGTTTAGAGTAATGCTATGTACAACACCAATGTCCTATTGATCGTGAGTGACAAATGTCTATGAAGAATTCTGAAGTATCAACACAATGATAATAAAGAATTTCTTCTATACAGTTTAACATTGCTTTTTCTTTCTTTATTTCCTTTTGTTTTAGTTTTTAAGCATTCAGCTATTGCTAACTTCATCTGTGTGTCATAGACATTATGAACACAGTTAGTTTTACTGTTGGATAAGCACTTCTAATACTGGTTTATTGTGCCTTTATACTCATGCTACTAACTCTGTTTTTAGTTAATGCTTACTAAAGTTCAGTATCCTTAAGGTGGTATAATTTTCATGTTCATCAGTTACTCTAAAA